CGAATTTTGGGAATGATGAGGGCAGCAAATGTATAGATGTGCTTTACACAATTGATCTATGTATTGTGATGAATTGTATGAGCCCCAATAAATTGATTTTTTTTAAAAAGCTGTAAGAGTCCCTAGTAATTGATTTATTAAATTAATTTTAAAATGTTTAAAAGAAAAGAAGATACCATTACTAGAGATGTCATCATAGATTTTTACAAGACCATTGACTTGTTCATAACAAAAACCTTTTCTCAACAAACAAAAAGTAACTATACAGGTCAACTTCTCCAGATGTAATACACAGAAATCAAATGGAAGGGACGAGGGAGAAGCTCAATATCAGCAGCTAAAACCAGGCCAGGGCTGACTGGTACAGACCATCCATTACTCATATGGAAGTTCAGGTAGAAGTTGAAGAAAATGAAAAGTCTCCAAGAGCTAAAATACAGCCTTGAGAATGCCCCACCTAAATTTTGAGAACATTTCAAGAACGGATTTGATGCATTAAACATTAATCACAGAAGACCTGATGAGCTGGGGGATGACATTAAGAACATCATACTTAAGAACAGTAAAAGGTCATTAAAAAGATAGGGAAGGGAAAAAAAAGATAGGGAAGAAAGCAAAGATCAGTGTGTGTGTCATCAGTGATTCTGAAACTTGCTCTTAATCACAGAGTAGCTAAGGCAAATGGAAGAAATGATGAAGTTAAAGAGCTAAACAGAAAATTTAAAGGGCAGCTTGAGAAGACAAAATAAGATATTATAATGAAATGTGCAAAGACCTAGAATTAGAAAACCAACAAGAAAGAACATGCTTAGCATAACTTAAAGTGAAAGAACTCAAGAAAAAATTCCAGCCTGAGTTGCAATCTTAAAAGACTTTGTGGGAAAAATATTGAATGATGCAAGAAGCAGCCAAAGAAGATGGAAAAATACATAGAATCATTGTGCTAAAAAGAACGAGTTGACATTCAACCATTTCAAGAGGTAGCTTAAGAGCAAGAACCAATGGTACTGAAGGAACACGTTCAAGCTGCGTTGACACAAGGCTTCGGGAATTGATTGAATATCAGTGAAATGCTTCAACAAGCTGATGAAGCCCTGGAAGCATTTACTCATCTATGCCAGGAAATTTAGAAGACAACTACTTAGCCAACTGACAGGAAGAGCTCCATATTTATACCTGTTCTACAGAAAGTTGACCCAACAGAACATGCAATTTATAGAACAATATTACTAATATCACATGCATGTAAAATTTTGCTGAAGATAATCCAACAGTTGCTGCAGTACATAAGTAGAAAGATATGTTAAATAGCTGTGAGAGGTTGTGTAGGACGACACCTGCATGCAGATATAGATATGGTTGTGGATTTTGTACATGCTTTTGTGTGATTAATTATGTATTAATGTGTATAATTAACATGTATAATCTTATATGTAATAGACCATATAGGGGATGTAGCTACAGAAACGTAAACATGACTGAACACCTCCCAGTCTCAGGGGACATTTGAGTGGTTGGCACAACATAGTACCTAGCGGCAGTGTTAGACATCATAGTCCACTGAGTAAGGAACCTTAAAAAGCTCGTGAATGACTATCTGAAACGCAAGTAGGGGTCTCTTTCTGCCCAGAGCAAAGCCGCATAAAGAAAACCAAAGACTCAAGGAAGCAATTAGTCCAAAGTACTAATCGTCCCCAAGAACCACAGCCGCCTCTAGCGTGAAGCCTGCAGAACTGCATGGTGCCTGTCTGCCACTATTGGCTGTTCTGACCCGAGTGTCCAAGAAAGGCCCGACTTGGAATGCAAGAGAAAATGTAGAGTGAAACTCAAGTTCATAAGAAATGCAAGACTTGCTGTTCTGATAGAGACCGGAGGAACTCCTGAGACTGTTCCCCTAAGTTTCTCTTCTGACTGAAGCCGGTCCTGGAGACCACTTCTCAATCAAAGAATAGAGCAGTCTAAGATCAACGATCCCACTGGGGTGGTGTGCACTCTATAGAACTATCAGCTTAAAAAGACCAAACACAAAGATGTGAAGGCAGGAGAGAGCAGGAAAACTGGACAAATGGAACTGGGAAACCCACTGCCTTCAAGTTGGTTTGACAGATAGTGACCCTATCTATGGAAAGTTCCGTAGACTGGAAATGTTTATAAGAGCAGACAGCCTCATCTTTCTCTCACAGAGTGCCTGGTAGGTTTGAACCACCAGCCTTGTAGTTAGCAGTCCAGCACCTAACCCACAGTGACATCAGGGCTCTGTATTAGAATGTAATTTCATTCCTACCAGGAAAAAAACAAACTTACACTTGCCAATACATTATTTAGTCAGAGATTTCTTAGCTCAAAACACGGAGGAATAATTTGTCTAGTAACTATAAATGAATTATCAGAAACCCACTCAGAGTTTTTGTGAGTCAATTAGACAGTAACGGTTGCTGTTCATCTGTGTGAAACTATTGGTAGCTGCTGTTTGCATGCATGCATGAGGGCCAGCCACACATATAATTTTTAAAGTAGCGGAGTTGCATGTAATTAGTGTTCTCTCTGTATACAGTACAATCAGGGCCATTGATGACTTGTGGCTGTTGAGCCTGCTGGGATGATGTAGGCAGTGAATGCCTCTTCATCAGGCCCCTGTTGCCATTGAGTTGATTGTAACTCAATAGGAACCTAAAGGACAGAGCGTAACCGCCCTGTTTCCAAGGGAGTACGTCACCCTTAGTGGAGGAGACTGCCACATCTTTCTCCCAGGTGGGGTCCCGTCACCGCCAGCCTTTTAAACCGCAGTTATGTGCTTAAACTGTTGGACTTTTTGTTAATGGGGTCCGACCAGACCACTGTCATCATGTTGATTTTAACTCCTAATGATCTTATAAAGGATTTCCTAGGCCGTTTCGTAAAGATTACAGCCTTGGAAACCATATGAGACAGATCTACAGTGATCCCTATGGTTGCTTTGAATTGGACTTTTTAAAAACCAATCGATGTAAGACCCTGGTGGCGCTGTTGGGTTAGTGTGGGACTGTTGACGCAAATTCGAGCTGTCCAAACCTACCAGCTGCTCCACAGGAGACTGATGATGCTCTGTGCTCCCGTCAATTGACAGCCTCAGGGACCCTATAGAGGAGAATGCCTATGAATTGCAGGTGACGTGATGGCAGTGGATTTATGTTTAGAGAAACTGGAGGTAATACGTCCTACATAAACTTGTTATGATAATGATTAAATGAAATATGAAAATGAACAGCACACTTTTGGCTTACAAATATAAAATCTTTTGTTACATGACATTGAAGTCTGTAATAAGGGCGAACAGATTTTCTTGGTACCGTTTGTGTATACTCTTTAGGAACCCTGGGGGTGAGGTGGTTACACATTGGGCTGCTGATCACATTGTGAGAACATCAGCCACCCTTGCGGGAGAAAGACAAGGCGCTCTACTTCCGTCAAGAGTGACAGTGTCCAATCCCACAGAGGCAGTTTTCCTTGTCACACAGGGTGACTGCAAGTTGGGATGGACTCAGTAGGAGTGAGTTTGAATTTTGAGGATGGGGAAGTTGCTGTCCGAGAACCGAATGTTTGGTGATCATTTATTTACCTTGTCCTAGTAACCAGTCAATGTCCCCTGCATTCGGAAAGGAATCGTGACTACTGTATATATGGGATTAGAGATTTCTCCTGCATCGCCCTGTGCATCATGATTTTGACATCCCCATCTGTTACTTGGATTACCTTGAAGGCTGTGGTGCTCTTGTGGCAGAGCATCAATGAGCATTTAGAACAATTGTTGCACAGCCTGTATTTCCTGCTATAACAAAGTTTTGCTATTAAAATAATTTCTTTTGTGCTGCTTTTGTCATAACATACTTTTTTTTTCCTTTTGAAAAATATTTATTAAGTATAAATAAATGTCGTATACACATTAAATATCAAGAAATACTCATTGTTGATTACAAGTCAGGCTGTAATACTGAAGGAACCATAGAATCAAAGTACCCACTCATGAAACAGCAGTAAGACTTCCATTCCAACACCAGACACAGTAATGATACAAGACACAATACCCATCAAAAAAGGTCAACCTGCTCACCCACCTACAAGGCTAAGAGAAAATGGTTTTGAATCACAATATACACAGCTCTGATGCTCTTATCTTGTCTTAGCAACATTTTGAGGTTGTGCAGTTAACATTTTCAGAAAATGTAAAGATTCCCATTTCCTTCATTTTATTTCAAATTATTAGCAAGTGAAAACAAGTCTTGACACAGCCACTGATTTTTTTAAAGTTAATCTTTCTTAAGAGAAAAGGAATACAAATTTAGTACAAAGAAAGTATCCCCCAGCAATGAGGGTCTTACAGGGAAAAAGCAATGTAATGAACTTTCCCTGAAAGAAAGAAACTGAAATTTGTTATGGTAAATTTGGAAAGCTATTTCCCAGTCCCCAGAAAACATATTTATTTTACATGATGTATTTGAATGGTGGACGTCTATGAAGCAGGGATCTGTGGCAATCCAAATTCATCCACCAACACTCCATCCTTATTCTTTGTGTCAGTGGGCACGCCTTCAGGAATGGCAGGTGCAGATGCTGCCTCGTCCAAATATGAGTTGTCTTCATCAGCCAGAAGCTCATCACCCAGTGCGTCCAATTCTGCTTCTAGGTCATCTTCGTCTAGCTCTGGGGTGCCATAACTACGACTCAGTGCTTCTTGGATTTCATTCGCATCTTCCATCATATCCTCTAGCTGGTCTTGCAGATCCTCAATCTGGTCGATTTTTACTTGCTTGTATGCTTTCTTCATTTCTTTTACTCCTAGTTTCATAGCATCAACCGTGGTCTTGGTGTCCTTCAGTGACTGGATGGTGTAATTGGCTTGTTCCATGTTAAACGACTGTTGAGCAAGGTTGTCCCGCTGCTGCTCGTACATTCGCTTTTGTTTTAAGACCCGCAAGGCTTTCTGCTTGACCATATTCTTTGCAGGGCCCTCCCGCATCTTCTTGATCTGATCCTTGTATTTCACTAGTTCCGCATCCAGTCGAGAAATCTTTTTGTCAATAGGTTCTGCGCGGCTATCCACCGTGCCAATGCAGTCAGTCAGGCTGGGAGGCGGAGCCTTCGGCTTGGCTTTTCCGAAGAATCGGTTCATCTTGGGCGGCCGCGAAGAATCCCAAACACTGTAGCAAAACCAGAAACGGAAATAAAGTCATCCCGGTCTCCGCCTTGACTTCCGGCCTCCTCTGCGCAAGCGCAATAGGCACACTGGCGTTTCCCGATCCTTTTTTCCGGGTTTTCAGCTGGGCCTTCCGGGGACGGAGTTCTGGAGGGAGTCAACATACTTTTTTTAAAGTGAAAACTCAACTACTTTGTTTATATTCTTTGTTTCTATTTGGGTTTCATATGATGCTTGTTAAATGAGGTTTATTGTAGGGATTTTTTAAACTGTTTATAAGAGGACAGAATAATTTGTTACGCTATAAGAAGATGATTAATTGAACATTTTTGTTGCTATCAAGGCACCGATGAGTAGATGCTGCCTCATGGCGACCCCATATGTGCACAGTAGACCTGTGCTAAGGAATTCTCAAGGGTGTGGCCAGACCTAGCTTCAGGGTACCTCTGGGTAGGTTCAGATGTCCAACTTTTGGATGTGTGCCCCCAGCGTATTCCTAATTGAGCAATCGAATCTTATAAAACAAACTAAACCGTATCTACACAGAAAATGTTGGCTATTTAAAATAAGGTTCTTTAACCACCAGGGTTCCTCCAATGAAATCTTACGCCCTCATAGAAAAGAAAAAGGAATGGAATACTGATATATGCTACATGAAGGATCCTTGAAAACACTGCATGAAGGGAAAGACAGTCGCAGGGGTCCATATAAATGACCCAATTTATATTGCTCAGAAAAGGTAAATCCATACAAACATTTTGTAGATCAGTGGTTGTCAGGGTCTGGGAGAGAGGTGAAGAAAGAGTAAATTGCTAATGGTAGGTTTGGGGTTTTTTTTTTGGGGGGGGGCATTTCTTTTTTCCTTTTATTTGGTGGTGGTTCAAGTGTTCCGGAGTGAGATCATAGAGATGGCTACCCAACTGTGAACATACTAAGTACCTCTGAACTGGACACTTCTAAATGGGGAATAGTCTTATATGTGAATGACACCTCAATGAAGCTGTGAATAAATAAGAATAATAATTATGTAAAAGAACATGGGGCTCAGGGTTGGGGGTTTCTGGCCCTGCCTCTGTGCTTATGACTACCTGAACCCATTGCTGCTGAGTTAATTTCTGCTCCGAGTAGAACTGCCCCATAGCTTTTCCCAGGCTGTAATCTTTAATGAAACAAACTGCTATATCTTTATACCTCAGAGTGGTTGGTGGGGTTGTACTGCTGACCTTTTGGTTAACTGCCAGGTGCTTAACCACTCAGACACAGCTTGCTGAAAAGCCAGCAGCTCATTGGGTTCTACTTTCAACATATATCAAGTAACTGGCTTGGGCTCTGTGATTAGAGTTCTCCTCAAGCTCCAACGCAGTGATTCTATAGTCATGGCAGGAAATTAAAAAAGAATCTTGACGATTTCACTGCATACTTGGCAGTCACCACAAACTTCACTCTCTATCCTAGTTTGGGGACAGGCACATTCATCGAGATAGTCAACAACTTCCAAAAACAAAGGGGATACCAGTAAAAAGCAGTGTCAGCCATTCAGCTGGATTTAGTCATCTTCCATTAGAAGAATCTGGCTTATATTCAAAGGCAAGAAGCAATCTTAATTTATGAATTCTAAATAGTACCATGTGCAATCATTTTGACAAGTCTTTTTATTGATACCATTCATTTCCTTTCCTTCTGTTCTTATCTAACCACAGTGTGACTGGTGCTGTAGGAGACTATATAGTCACCCCCACTTTTGGGAACAGATTAATGTTGAGTTTTACTGGTACATTGTTTTACCCGTAGATCATAGGTATGTAAATTTAAAACTCAAGGGAGCTTCAAAATGTTTTGGGAAAATAGAATTAAAAGCTTACACTCAATCCTAGCTCCAACTTTAGAACAATTAATTCTTACATTATGGCCCTGCTTGATACTCACTCTCAAAAAGAGAATACAGAAGATATGGGTGCTATAGCAAACTGTGGTGCCTGGCTATCAGATAAAATAGCATCTGGGGGTCTTAAAGGCTCATCTCCAAACAAGCAGCTATTTAAGTGGGATGTCAATAAGTCCACCGTTAGAAGCACACCATCATTTGCCACTGAAGGATTGTAAATCAAAGGAGGGAATAGTATCAGAGCCTAAATTTTGAGAATTAAGTTTGCAGAAGGCTATGGACAAGAGTGGGAGCCCAAGATTCATTTCTGGGAACTGCATAGGACATAAACCTCCAGTGAACTCCCTGTCTCCACAATTGAGGGAATGAAGGAAAAGGGACTGCTAAACAGAGTGCCTTGGAAAGATGAGCATGGAAGACCAAAGGCGTAAGTCTGACTTGACAGTTAAAACTTTGTTGATCTCCCCTCTGATGCATGCAGGACCTGATCTTGTTTTTCATCGTTTTCTGTATTTTTGTTTGTTTGTTTATGTTCATTCATATTAGGATTTGTCTCAGAGGTGTTAAGTCATTGGAGGTCTCCCTCTTGGAGTTGTGTTTTGATTTTCTGTTTTTCAGTATATGAAACTCCGGGTTGATGAGCCTATGGGGACAGCAAGTAGAATAAGGGTTTCAGTGGGTGGGAGCGGTAAAGAAGAGATGATGCCAAGGAGTCCAGGCAGAAAAGAATGTTTGGGAACTGATTGTGGTAGCAATTGTACAATCCTGCTTGATGCGTTTGAACTATGGAATGATATGATATATATGTATTAACTCCCAGTTAATAATAATAGTAATAGTAATAATAAAGATAGTAGAAAGTTGCCACCAACTTTTGGAAGTTTCCATGCACATTTTTTTCTGTTCATGAAAGATCCTCATAGTGATCTTAAATAGTTCTTTGGCCTCTATGTGTGTGTGAGATTCCGACTAAAACCTGTTAAAAAATTCTATAACTCACTCCTTTTACTAGTGTGTGTAGATTTTTCTACCTGTATCCATTAGTCTATCTGTCTCCAAAATGAAAAAAACAAATAACGGGTTTTGAGGTGAGGAGTGGGCAGACCAGATGCTGAAGTGAGACTGGTGATGCCCTGGGCTTGTACGGTCGGTGGGACATCCAGGAGATGATGTTCTTCAGGCAGTTGTTGCTGCCTCTTTTCATCTGTGTACACCTACCAGCCTGGGACTCTGCAGTCTCAGAGAAGTGGCTGATCCACACTGATGATTGTGGGGTGGAGTGGGGTGGGAGGGAGGCAAGCAGAGCTTCAGGAAATATTGCTCACTCCGAAGTCTCTGGTTCAAACCCATTATTCTACAGGAGAAAGAGGAAGTCATTCTCATCAAGATTTTGTTTCAGAAACCCCATCCAGGTTTACTTGCAGTTGGAATCCACTCATTAGCTTTGGGGGTGTGTTTTTTTGTTTACTATTTCATTGTATGGGTAGATGGCCTTTTGTTATCCACTCATTAATTGGTGGAGACTTGGATTGTATTTACCTTTTGGTTGTTCATAGTGTTATTATGAACATCTATGTACAAATGTTTGCTTTAATACCTGTTTTCAGTTCTTTCCGGTGTATAACCAGGAGTAAAACAGATGGGTCATTTGGTAATTTTATGTTTTGCTTATCGGTAACAGTGACGGCATCATTTTGCTTCCTCAGAACACATTTGAGAGCCCCATTTTCTGCACAAACTTACCAACACTTGATGTTGACTATCTTTTAAATCATAGTCATTCTGGTGTGAAATGGTTTTGATTTGCAAATCTCTAATGACTAATAATGTCACTCATCTTTTCATGTGGTTGTGGACTATTTGTATATCTTCTTTGGAGAAATAGCTCATTTTAAGCATACAATGAACTATTTCTCCAAATATATATGTATATTTATTTATTTAATTGGCTTGTTTGTCTTGGCAAATTCCTTTAATTTCTCCTTGTCTGGTTATTTGCCTTTATGATTGAGTTGTAGAAGTTCCTCTGGGTACTGGTTACAAATCCTTAATCAGACATATTAATTGCAAATAGCTTCTCTATTCTGTAGTTAATTTTTTTCACTTGCTTGATAGTGTTCTTTGAAACAAAAGATTTTATTTTGATGAAGTCCAGTTTATCTGTGCTTTTCTTTTGTTGCTTCTGATGCTATCTCTAAGGAACCATTGACCAAGGGCAATGGACTTCTTGATTTTCATCTAAGAGTTATATAAATTCACCTCTTTTATATTTAGGCCTTTGGTCCATTTTGAGTTAGTTTTTGTATAGGTTACTTTTTAATCCTAGTTTATCTTATGTTTTTTCAGCTGCCTTATCTAAGTTTTTGGTGTTTCAATCACATGAACTTATGTCATGTGAAATTTTAAGAAAATCCCATTTTCTATTCTTCTGTAAACTGTTTGGGCATTTGGGGGCAGGAACTGTACTTATAATTGTAATTTTATTTCTCTCGTTGGAACCTAAGGCAAGTGTGAGTTGAAGAATATACATGTTTTCTTTTGCAGCAGTAAATGCAAGTCAGTGAGTACTGAAGGCTCTTGCTCTGTTAACCTGAACAGTTGGTCTCTGTTCTAAAACAATATCTTCATTTTTCTGAGAACATTTGTTTGGGAGCTTTCAATGAAAGCATCTCTCTTCCCATCAGCCTCTTATCTGTACAATGAACAAAGCTGGTGAGTTGAGGGCAAAAGCTTAAGACATGCAGGTGACTTGGAAACGGACACATCCTAGATGCTGTAAGACTGAAAGTTAACCTCCTACCAAGGTCAGCCTTGGGAAATGTCACAGTATATCCTACTTCTCAACAAAGATATCCATTATTTTAATTTTTCTTCATTAAAACAAGTTTCCCTTTTTTAAGCATTTAATACACTTAGCTCAGCAGTCAGTGATGCTACTCTTTTGTAAGTAGCATACTTAAATTTAAGGGGCTCAGAATCACTTAAAATGTGCCTCGTCTTTCAGAGTTTCAGCTAGCCTGAAATATCACATAACTGAAGTAGAATTTTTGCAATAAATTGGTCTTTAGCTATTCTTTTGGTATGTTGAGCTTTTCAGGTAAAGGATCATGGCATTGTGTAACTCATGCAATGGCTTATCAG